AATAATAATAATAATAATAATAATAATAATAATAATAATAATAATAATAATAATAATAATAATAATAATAATAATAATAATAATAATAATAATAATAATAATAATAATAGTTATAATAGTTATAATAGTTATATAAATAATAGCTCTTTAAAGAAAGAGACGGCGTATTTGGCGCCGCTTCAGGCAGGTTCTGCCGCCAAGTTCAGCGGGACATCTGCCACAAAACCCTCGCCGCTTTAACCCAGGCGGCAAGGCCACCAAGCGCGCGAACCCCTGTCCCGTCCCAGGCTTGTGCCGCAGGGTACCGACCAAAGTACTGACCAAAGTTCCTCAGCCACACCTCCCAGAACTGCCCAAATGGCCCTGCCAGTCACTCTTCACTCAACTGACGTTCCAATTCTTGCTTGGCGCGTCGCTTTCCAACAGCCAAAAATAGCCACCATAATGAGTCCTGCAATGGCTTATCTTCTCGTACTACATAAACCGCGGTCGCTGCAGTCAGGGCCTCAGCTAGCGGTCTCCTCAATCCATCCGCTCTCAAAGCCTGACTATTACTACTCGTTTAGCTAGTCCCTCCGCCAGCAAGCCTTCTGTTAACTTATGCCGTTCCTCGTTCCACAATGTCAAATCGCCCGCGCACCCTGGCGGTCGCTTACGATTCCGATGCATCTTTCTCGGCTGACGATGAATACGACAACTACGACGATGTTTTCGATGCGAAGGAGCAACAAGATGGTTCGGACACCGATGCAACTGATAATGAAGATCTCTACGAAGACGACGATTTTGATATAGAGGACCAGGTTCGGCTCTTCGACGGGAATGTCCATCCACCTGAGTACTGGCGGCGCAATGTGGAGGGATTTAACGAGGATTCTTACGCCTGTCAAGATTATAGCCTTAGGACGACGGTGCTTCTCAATGCCGTAGAGGAACAGTGGCGCCAGTAAGTTCCTGCAACTTCTTAATACTCTATAAGCTACTTACACTCTACATTTACAGATTCTGTAGTGTTCTCAAGCGCGGCACAGAAGACTGCTACGCAACGATTTCCCTTGGCCTCCTGTATAACTTCTTTGACTGGTTCCTAAGTCAGAAGGTTGGTAAGGACGGCAGAAAGAAACGCGGAATCAAGAAGAAGAGCTCCTTGGGCACATACTGGAAGGTCTTTCGACTCGTCTTCGAGAGAGCCGTGGGCGACAAGATTGACCAGAAGCTGAACCGCAGTATGCATAGGGAAGGTCTGTCCCACCGCAGCGCCAGCACCCCCACTGACCGGTTCAGGTTCTGCGAGACCTCGCGAAGAAGCACAGTTTGAGCGAGCAGCGGCGAGCTAATCGCTGTATGACGATCGACGATCTCAAGCAGCAGATCGAGACGACGCTGAGCACGACAAAGAAATCGTTTAAACTAGGAGAGTTACGCATCCTCGCTGTGCTTTTTCTCCTCCTACTTGCCCCGGCCGGTTCTCGCCCAGAAGCGACTTTAAACCTGCGGTTCAAGGATATCAGGGTCGCACTGGCGAGAGATCCAGAAGGCGGACCGCATAAGCTACTTCTTCGGTTCACTCCAGAGTTCACCAAAACCTACCTTGGCGAGAAGGAACAGTGAGTATGGTTCTGGTCTGCTGCAACTGACGAGATATGCTGACATCTCAGGAAAATATACGCAGTTCCTGAGACTATGTTCGACCTATCCTTGCTCCTAAGCCCCCACGTCTTCCTTCTAGGCGTCCTCTTCCGATATCGAGCTTTCAACGCATCTAACCTCACCTCGCCACACCATCTTTACATCCTCGACATATATCCCGGGGAGCGGGAGCTGCCACTACCGTTAAAGGAGGACCTGAAAAACACCTTCATTTTCCGTCGAGCTGTTGAGATATTGACGGGCTACTAAATTTCCCCTAACGAACGTATATCTTCTGGCATGATGGCGGCGTGGATTAAGAGAATCGGCGAAATCCTGGGCTTTGAGTACCCTACGATAGCCTACAACTTGCGTTACAACGCAGCCAACGCGTTTGACCAAAGTGGTGCGTCTCGTCTCATTCCTCCTATTCCTACTGCTGTAACTAGCGACGCTAATGCCCATCACAGTCGATGTTAGCGAAGCTCTCCGGAACCTCGCCATGGGGCATGGCAGCTCAGACCCGTTCCAGAGGCATTACCTCGGGCGGAACATCTCCGCCGACCTCTGGGGCATCCTTCGCGGACAAAGGCCGCAGCAAGCGCTCATGAAGCAGTCTTGCAGCATTGGTCACTCTATCTCTAAGCGCCGTCCTATCGATCTCACGCCAGATCAGTCTGCATCTATCGCTATGCATCCGACTATCAGAGAGCTGACGAAGGCCCTCCGAGAACTGCCACTAGGCTCCAAACAGTACAAAGAAGCTAAACGAGCGATACGAAATGAAAAGCAAAGACTTAGGAGAGAGCTGAAACAGAAGATCAGAGACGAGTGGACTAACAAGCAGGCCACTGACGATATTGAGCGCCAAATCCAGGGCGTTGGGTTTGCCGAGCCTGGGACAGGAGGTGCCTGTCGACCTCAGGGCCTAGCACAAAAGCGATTGCTCGCAAAGCTCACCGCCCCGATCGTGACTACACTCGAAGGTCAATACCGACGAAGAGATGACGCCATCAACGCAGTGTCTGCGTACTGTTCTGTTCAGGAAGGATGCACCATACGCTGGTGTCACCCTCTGTTGACACCGAAGGCCGCACTTTCTGACCCACCTTGTGACCCGTCGGAGGCCAGCCCATTGTATCTTGCCACGCTATCTATTTTTGTCACCAGTGAAAACCAGCGGCCAAGAAGATGCTTTATATGCATTGGCCAGGCCATAGGTCTGCCACCAGACGATAAGGATCGGTTGGACGACCTCACCTGTGAATTCTATACCTCCAACGACCTAACTAAGCACTTCCGACGTAAGCACTTATCCAAAGTCGCAGACGGCGACAATATAGAGTGTAAGGTTTGCGCCATGACGCTGGACCACAAGATGCACCTCTAGAACTATGCCTTCAAGATTCACGGCACTGCGTCTTAAGCATGTGTCTCCGCTATTCTCCTAGGAGCGGGGGTTCTAGGTGAGGGATGATACATCAAGTTCCTAAACGCTAAGCATAATTCTAGCTTGCACTATTTAATAATGCGACATGCTGCAGCTATAAATTATGATACACTTCGCGAGGATATAGGGGGCTCTTGTGGGTGGTACTTAGCATATAACTTTATCTGATAGCAATATGGGGGTTTGCAGAAAGAGCTGTTTAGCTTTACAGTCTAGAGCTTGCTTTGTGAATGCAATTAGGATTCTACTTAATTTTAACTATATAATAGCTTTATGACTTGTAATTATAACCCTACTCTTACTTATTGGATATAGGCTGAGTAAACAGGCCTAGTTATAATTCCAATATAGCCAGCCACAGCCATCAGTTGAAAGTACCACGGGTATTTATGGAACCCGATATTGTATGCTTCATGCTTCCTTCCCCATCCCCTCATCGGGGACCTGGGATGCCGAGGCAGGCGGACATGCTGGAGACCGCTGGTGTGATTGTCGCCAAACTGACCGAAGCCCTGAATAGCGCTACACTTGCTTCAACACAAGCATCGATATTATATGGACGAGACTGGCATCGCAGAAGTCAACGTGGACTCCCACTTGGTCCTTGGACACTCGAGGAGGCGAAAGATCCACGTCAAGAAGCCTACACCATACGTCTGGATGACCATTGTTAAGTGTATCTCCGCCACAGGCAGGGTTATCCCTCCACTCGTGATATTCAAAGGGAAACACGTCCAGCAGCAATCGTTTCCCACAGATCTTGAAGATAACAGAGATTGGCAGTTTATGGCTACCGAAAACAGGTGGACGACGAATCCTGTTGCGCTCGTTAATAGTCTAGAAGAGCGAGTCCCAGCTGACTCAGCAGGCGAAACGGTGGTCGGTTGTGTCTCCACCCCTACGCCGCCGTGCCGTCCGCTGTCCGTAACTACCTCTATCCGCCCACCCCCCCCCCCCCCCCCCCTTCTTCCTCC